TGAGCACTTTGTCGCTCCCCGTCTTCGTGGAGGAACGACATAGGACCCTGCGCTGTTCTTTTGTCTGCTCGGCCTTCCCCGGGTTTGCTGCTGGTTCTTCCCGGGTTGGCTACCGACCCTTCCACCTCCGTGGAAGGGCAGTTCCCCCTGCCACCTTCCCCACTTCCGCGGGGGAGCGGCACACCGCCGGCCGGCTCTCTCGGGGGCTGCACAGGTGTTCCTTCAGATAGATGTTCTTGGTGCATGTTGTCTCTCTCCTCCTTTATAGTCCTCTTCCACCAATCCCAACTCTGCTACCCACACGCCGAGTACGCTGTTCTCCTCCAATCAGGAGCAGCTCCTGCAGCTTGTCAAGTTGGTGAAAGGCAGCTGGGTAGAAGCTGTTTGCTCCTCTCCCAGCGCCATATTGTGGGAGAGCAGATGCATAGAATAAGTCTTAATTCCAGTAACTTAGTCTAGTCCGAGTTGCTCCCCACAGATCCCCCTTTCTTTTTATTTTTGGTGTTGATACGCGCCTGTCTTCGGTGCCCCGCGGCACACACTCTGCTCTGCTTGCTAGAGTTGCCCACAGGTGCTTACAAGCCCTATCAATCAGGCAAACCGAATCCGGGTCCTCTCTTCGCCATGTTGTGAGGAGGTTTCTAGGCGCTGATGCGTGCCTGTGTTCGGTGCCCTGCAGCGCACGCTCTGCTCTGCTAGAACTGCCTGCAGGTGCTTACAAGCCCTAGCAATCAGGCAAACCGAATCCAAGCCTTCGCATTGCCGTATTGTGGGGAGACTTACTGGTGTGGATTCGTGCCTATCTTCGGTGACCTGCAGCTCATACTCTGGTCGAGCTGCCTGCTGGTGCTTATCGCCTTACTAATCAGGCAGACCGAATCCAAGCCTTCTCATTGCGGTATTGTGGGGAGACTTATTGATGTTAATTCGTGCCTGTCTTCGGTGACCTGCGGCGCATAAGCTGCTAGCCGCCCGCAGGTGCTCACCACCTCCCTAATCAGGCAGACCGAATCCAAGCTCTCTCATTGCCATGTTGAGGGGAGGCCTTATTTTTCTCTATTTCTCTATCTTCCGGGCATTCCTATTTCTCCTATTTCTTCTTTCTGCCAGCATTCCTATTTCTCTCATTTTACTTCTAAACTTCTGTTTCTCTTATCCCCGCGGCTCCCCGGCGCCTGCCCCCGAGGCTGCTTCTCGGCTCCGTGCGCTCCGCGCGGTCTCCGCGCCCTTTGCGTCCGCACCACGGCCTCGCGCTAGCCCCGGGTTCCCTATCTACTTGTGCCCCGCGCGCTCTCTCTGCGCGTGGCAGCTTCCACGAGTCACACAGCACAGCTCACGTTTCCGCCACCGGTATTCAGTCCAAGTTCCCTGGGCTAACCTGGCGAATTCAACCCAGCTCACGTCTGCGCCCTTCGGCTTGGCTTCCCGTCCTTTGCTCCCCGGGCTAATCTGACGGATTCCAACCTGGCGGCCCACGTCTCTGCCTCTGGTTCCAGATTTTCGCCTTTTGCTCCCTGGGCTGACTTGAAGAATCCCAAGATAGCTTACGTCTCCGCTTCAGCCTGCACTCGCGGCTTCATCCTCCCTAACATATTTTCTTACCCGGTATGTTTCCCTAACTTTTCTTCCAACAACAATATTCCCCTCTCATTTCTCCTGGCCTCTCCCCACAGTCCGTATCCAAGTCTAAGTTTCTTCTAGGTTTCACTTTCGGTTTCAACCTTAGAGATTTCTCCCAACTTTCACTTTCGCTTTCAATCCTAACGTCCAATCCTAACTTCTTTGCCACAGTCCGTATCCGAGTCTATGCCTAGGCTTTCAATAGCTTCTTCCGGCACCTTTTCCGTCCGGCTTTCCCTAGGCTCTTTGCTAGTCTCTCTCTCCGGTATTTTCCCACTTCTTCCCATTTCTTCCCTCCTAGGTTTCCTATCCGAGTCACGGCACCAGTATGTCGCTCTCCGTCTTCGTGGAGGAACGACACAGGACCCTGCGCTGTTCTTTTGTCTGCTCGGCTCTCCCCGGGTTTGCTGCTGGTTCTTCCCGGGTTGGCTACCGACCCTTCCACCTCCGTGGAAGGGCGGTTCCCCCTGCCACCTTCCCCACTTCCGCGGGGGAGCGGCACACCGCCGGCCGGCTCTCTCGGGGGCTGCACAGGTGTTCCTTCAGATAGATGTTCTTGGTGCATGTTGTCTCTCTCCTCCTTTATAGTCCTCTTCCACCAATCCCAACTCTGCTACCCACACGCCGAGTACGCTGTTCTCCTCCAATCAGGAGCAGCTCCTGCAGCTTGTCAAGTTGGTGAAAGGCAGCTGGGTAGAAGCTGTTTGCTCCTCTCCCAGCGCCATATTGTGGGAGAGCAGATGCATAGAATAAGTCTTAATTCCAGTAACTTAGTCTAGTCCGAGTTGCTCCCCACACACTTGTTGCTGGCTTTGTTTGCAATCCAATGTCTTTGCCATGGTCTTTGTTGGCAGATAAACCCTGAGCTTGGGGATGCTAAGTCAGGTGATCCTCGCTGCCCTATTGTGCTCCTCATTCTCACTGGTTCTATTTCTGCAGGTTACACCAATATGGGGGTGTTCTCGCGGTCCCCTCCCACTCTACTATCTGCATCCTTGACCTCAGTTATGTCACATCAGGACTGGGGTGTTTTATCTAAGGATGAGGCTGTGAAGATTGAGAAAGACTTAGAAGATGGGAACTTGCTGAAGGTGGTCTCTGACATGAGGCGGCCTCTGGAGCTGGTGTCCCAGACGCCAGTCAACATCGCGGTGACAGGAGAATCTGGCAATGGCATGTCCACCTTCATCAATGCGCTTCGCGAGATAGGACACGAGGAGGAGGCCTCGGCGCCCACGGGGGTGGTCACAACTACCGAAACCCGTGCTGCCTATTCATCCCCCCTGTTTCCAAAGGCTGTGCTGTGGGACCTGCCTGGCACAGGGGTGGCTACTGATACCTTGCAGGAGTATCATGTGGAAATGCAGTTCAGCCAGTACGACCTCTTCATCATCATCGCGTCCCAGCAGTTCAGCATGAATCACGTGATGCTCGCCAAAACCATCGCGGACATGGGAAAGAAGTTCTACATTGTCTGGACCAAGCTGGACCTGGACCTCAGCTCAAGCACCCTCCCAGGGTGTGAGCTACAACAGACCATCAAAAACCACATCTTGAGAAGTCTCCAGAAGCAGCGAGTGTGCGAACCCCCCATATTCCTGGTTTCCAGCCTTAAACCTTCTTCACACGACTTCCCAGGTCTCAGAGACACATTGCAAAGGGACTTGTCCCGAGTCAGATGCGATGGCCCTCTTCAACACCTCATGCATGCCTGCGAGAAGATCATCAGCCACAGAGTGGTCCATGCAGCGGAAAATTACTCTACAACCTCTGCAAGGCTTCCTGGGCTTCTGGTATGCAGATGACTTGGCCGAGTGTCTGGAAGCCTACCGATCAGTGTTTGGTGTAAACGGTGAAGCTCTCAGGGGGTATGAGCAGAGCAAGAGGAGCACGCTCACAGACTACACGAGCGTCATGAGGTCCCACGATGTGCAGCGTGTCCGCTGGAGGGACTGGAAACTCTGGGCCATGACCTTTGTAGTCACGAAGATGTTCTTCTTCTGTCTTAGCTTGTGCCCATGCTTACGCACCTGTGTCATTCCATACTTTAGACAGATGAAACATAGACGCTGCCTCAAGATAGTTGCCGAGGAAACGAAGACGGTCCTGGGTAAAATGCTGAGAGACTCTGTCATGCCCTGCGACACTCGGTGTGGGAAAAAGTTTCCAGCAAATCCAGCAGGCTCTCTCTCAGGTGGCCCTAAGAACTGGGGGGTGGGGACATCCTCTTCTCACCGCGCCTAGCTGATAGATTTAGATGAATATTTTCTTCTAAGTTTTATGATATTAATTCCTTAAAATGAATTATGAAAATCACTCTTCAGCAAATCATAATGTGTCATTCCTCTGAGGAACTATTTTGTATTGTTCATGATGTCATTAAGTAAGTTTCCCCGAGATGAGATTGACATGGTGCCTTCCCCCACCAAGTGCCATGCATGTCCAGACTAGTGTGTCTGCCACACCTTCATACACCTGTCTCAGTAAAGGTGGCACCATTGTCTTCCTCACATTTCTTTTTCTCTTTTATTCACTGGATCTTATGGGACACACAATGTGGAGAGGGTGATGTCACTATATTAGGGGGCAGATGGACAATGGGTTGAAACTGATAGAGACATTACAGAGATTTTTTTATTAATACATGAAAATTAGTTTTGGGGCCAGCACTGTGCTATAGTAGGTTAAGTGGACAGCTGCAGCACTGGCAACCCATATTGGTGTCAGTTTGTGACCCAGTTACTCTACTTTGGCTTCAGCTCCCTGTTGATTGATATGCTTGGGAGGACAGCCGAGGATGGCCCAAGTGCTTGGGCCCCTGCATCCACGTGGGAGACCCTGAAGAACCTCCTGGCTCCTGGCTTTAAATCAGCCCAGTTCCAGCCATTGCAGCCATTTGGGGAATGAACCACAGGATGGACGACCTTACTCTCTGTCTCTCCCTCTCTCTGTGTAACTCTGAGTCTCAAACAAATAAATAAATCTTTCAAAATTAGTTTTGTTTTTCAGTGTCTGTAGTCTACACTAGCAATGGACAATTAAAAAATAATTAAAAGAATAATTCTATTCAGAAGGGAATGTTCAAAGGAAATGAAATAATTAAGATTTTATATACTAAAGAGGAGCAATAGCTGTGTACTGAAAAATACAAAGTATTGCTTAAAGAAGTTTAACAATGTAAATTATTAGATATCATCAATATTTATGGTTTGGAAAATCCAATTACTATGATGAAAAGCTCCTCAAATTGATGTATTGATTTAACACAATAACTTCCAAATCTCAACAGTCATTCACAGAATCTGTCCAAGAAAAAAACACAGAATAGTCAGAATAATTTTGAACAAGAATAAAGTGGAAGAGTTACAGTGCCCATGTATAATACTTACTATAATGTTACCACTCTCAAGGCAGAGAATAAAGATACATTGAAAGATCAATGGAATAGATAATCCTAATGGGACAGAATTAAGAATCCTTAAATAAACTCTTATAAATTGAAAGTCCACTGATTTTTAAACAAACGTTCTTGGCCAGCACCACAGCTTAATAGGCCAATCCTCCACCTGCGGCGCTGGCACCCCGGGTTCTAGTCCTGGTCGGGGTGCCGGATTCTGTCCTGGTTGCTCCTCTTCCAGTCCAGTTCTCTGCTGTGGCCTGGGAAGGCAGTAGAGCATGGCCCAAGTGCTTGGGCCCTGCACCCGCATGAGAGACCAGGAGAAACACCTGGCTCCTGGCTTCGGATCAGCGCAGTGCGCCGGCCGCAGCAGCCATTGGGGGGGGGTGAACCAACGGAAAAGGAAGACCTTTCTCTCTGTCTCTCTCTCTCACTGTCCACTCTGCCTGTCAAAAAATAAAATAAATAAAATAAAAAAAAAAATACAAAGGTTCTAAAGCTGTTCCACTGCTTTGGGAAAGCAACTGAGAAAGGAACTCATTTTAACAAACTTTGGTTTGGATATTGGATATCACAGACAAAAGGATCATTTTAGACTCGTGTATTATAGCATACAGAATAATTATCACAAGATGGATCACAGTATTAAATATAGACCTAAAAGTATACAAATTTGAGGACAAATCCATAGGGAAAAAGCACTGTGGCATGGGCTAGGGAAAGATAACAGAAGCAAGATCAATAAGAGCAAAAAAACAATAAACTGGAATTCAATATATACTAGTCATGAGGCAGGAAGAAGAATGAATGGAGGGAGAATCCCCTGGACAGGCAGTTAGAGAGGGACAAGGGGGCCCCAAGGAAGACTAACAATCACCAGAATCACTGGATGAGGTCATATCAGCCAAAGCCCTGACCACTGCGGGCCTGTTTGAGAACTCTATCAAAACCAGAGCTGACCTCTGAGTGTCTCTCATCTCAAAGCAGCTAGGGAGGAGTGCTTCAGTTTCACCTGGTTAGGATCTCTACACAGAAGAAAAAAAGGTGATTCTGGCAGCATTCCCCCAGTGGCCCATATCCACTGCTAGAGGTTTTCACCTTATCAGCATGTATAGTAACCAATCAGGGAAAGCATCCCATTTAAAAACACAAAACCCCCTAGAAACGACCTCTTCTTTGGCTACCCAATTTTGGACCCTTCCTGGCTGCCAAATTGCTCTCTTTCTCTCTTTCGCTTTCTCCAACTCTTTTTTTTTTTTTAAGATTTATTTATTTATTTCAAAGTCAGTTACACAGAGAGAGGAGAGGCAGAGAGAGAGAGAGAGAGAGAGAGAGAGAGAGAGAGAGAGGTCTTCCATCTGATGGTTCACTCCCAAATTGGCTGCAACAACTGGAGCTGCATTGATCCGAAGCCAGGAGGCAGGAGCTTCTTCCTGGTCTCCCACATGGGTGCAGGGGCCCAAGGACTCGGGTCATCCTCCACTGCTTTTCTATGCCATAGCAGAGAGCTGGATCGGAAGTGGAGCAGCCAGGTCTCGAACCAGCGCCCATATGGGATGCCAGTGCTTCAGGCCAGGGCGTTAACCCACTGCGCCACAGCGCCAGCCCCAAGCTTTCTCCAACTCGTAAACTTCTTTCGTGTTGCTCACATTTCCATGTCCCTGTGCCTAATCTTCTGTACTCACGAGAAAAAGAACTTAGCAGAGAAAAATAGCTGTAACATTTCTAAAAATTCAGCAGAAAGAAAAATCTCCAACAAAACTGCTGTTTGAAACCCAGAGAGTGTTGGGGCCAAGTCTCTGGTCAGCTTGCCTGCTCCTGAGGCCCCTCCTCTTCACAGCATTCTCCACACCATTCAAGTACGTACACATGATCTGTGATTTTTTGTTTCGTTTTTAAGATTTTATTTATTTGAGGGGCAGAGTTACAGACAGAGAGAAAGATCTTCCATCTGCTGGTTTACTCCCCAAATGGTCACAGTGGCCAGAGCTGGGCCATCTGAAGCCAGGAACTAGAAGCTTTTGAGTTTTCCACGTGGGTGCAAGGACCCAAGCACTTGAACATCTTCTACTGCCTTCCCAGTCCATAGCAGAGCTGGATCAGAAGAGGAGCAGCCGGGACTAGAACCGGTACCCACATGGGACACTGGCAATGCAGGCAGACCATGCCACAGTACAGGCCCCATGACCAGTATTTGAAAAATGAATATAGGCATCTATTGTCAGGTTCTTGGCAAAAGGCTTAGTGTATCCTCAACATGGGTCATTTGAAGAAACTTTAATGAGAATATTTTTGTTAGCTAGCCAGGTAGATATTAGCCTATGTGTGTAAGAGAGACTGAAGAAAATGTGAATTTTTAAAGAAAATGGTGGGAGGATGTGGTGTTGTAGCCTAGTAGGTTAAGCTGCTGCCTGTAGCACCAGCATCACATATAGGCACCGGTTTGCAATATGCCTGGGAAAACAGCAGAAAATGGTTCAAGTACTTGGGCCCCTGCACCCACACCTGGAGGAGGCTCCTGGTTCCTGGCTTTGGCCTGGCCCAACTCTGGCCATTGCAACCATTTGCAGAGTGAAACAGCAGATCTCTCTCTGTTCTCTTTCTCTCTCTCTAACTTTCTATCTCTCTCTCTCTGTAACTCTGCCTTTCAAATAAATCAAAAGAAATCATATAAAAAAGAAAATGGGAATTTTTAAAAAAGAAAAATGAGAATTTTTGTGTGGCTGAACGAGGGAAGAAATATAGAAGCAAGCCTTAGGCCGGCGCCGCGGCTCACTAGGCTAATCCTCCGCCTTGCGGCGCCGGCACACCAGGTTCTAGTCCCGGTCGGGGTGCCGGATTCTGTCCCAGTTGCCCCTCTTCCAGGCCAGCTCTCTGCTGTGGCCAGGGAGTGCAGTGGAGGATGGCCCAAGTGCTTGGGCCCTGCACCCCATTGGAGACCAGGATAAGTACCTGGCTCCTGCCATTGGTTCAATGTGGTGCACCGGCTGCAGCGCGCCGGCCGCGGCGGCCATTGGAGGGTGAACCAATGGCAAAAGGAGGACCTTTCTCTCTGTCTCTCTCTCCACTGTCCACTCTGCCTGTAAAAAAAAAAAAAAAAAAAAAAAAAAAAAAAAAGAAGAAGAAGCAAGCCTTGGAAGCAGACTAGCATTTGCTCATCAAAAATCTTGCCTTTGTTCAATAACCTTGTTAGCTGGGTCCCAACTCTGTCCTGGGAGCAGCTTATAGGAATCTTCCCCACCCTACACCAAAGGGCTGTTAGATCCAATAACACTGTGCTGATGTTCTGGGAGGAATTTCAGTAATTCCATTACTAGGAAGCCCTCCACCCAGCAATATCCCAGAAGTGGGGAGGGAGGCAGGAGGAGAAACAGAGGACCCATATTCATATCAATA